GGGTGCACTCATCTGGCTCTTCACACTCCATGGTGTGGCTGGAGTCGCTGGACATTGTGAATGTTGTAGTTGAATAGAGAGGGCATGAGGCGACTCGGACAGGTTGGTGGAGTACATTATGGAACTGCATTTGTCCTTTTATCTATTTTTCGCAACTATATCTCTGCAGTTGTTTTTTCTAGGGATATTCCGGGGATATCACGGAACGTCAGTTTCCCTTCAACAGACGCAAGCAGCACTGCTTTTGTTCTCTATATAATGAAGAAGATTTATCTCACATGCTATATAAGGCCTACGCGGTATATACCACTCGTAAAGGTGTCAGATACGTATTCGAGGGGGATGAACATAATGAGAAATGGAAGGCTGGAGGGTTACTTCGAAGTGTGACTTGGGAGAAACTATAGTTTCTGGTTTGCGCCTAAACATCATTTATATTTTAGGGCTGGATTTATCGAGGAATCATCGGAAATCCCAAAATAATTGATGGGAGCAGGTATAATGGTTCAAATCTGCCGGTAATATCCAGCCGTAACATATTATTTCATTGCGGTTTCCAAAAGAAAGCTTTCTCAGTCTGCTAGGGCTTGAAATCAATGTCTGTCACTATACTACGTACAATAAGCTAGTCACAGCAGTAGTGCTTTCACTCCTAAGTCCTACTAAGCCATGCATTGTTATAAGAACCCAGAACTAAAACTCCTTCTAGACTGGTATCATAAGCTAATTCGAATCCCATGACTGTAAAATGCGGAGGCTTCCATCCCGATTCTCGTGGGTGGTCTTCCCAAATGGCCATTGAAAACATGAGAGCTGCAACATCGTCTCCAGGGCATGTAAGCATATAGAACTAAGTTTGTATAGAGGCCATCACTGCTTGCAGCTTCTTTTCCCTCTTGATCATTTCTGCCCTGTCTTATAAGCATCGTCTTCCTTGGCCTCGTGATTGTGGCCCGTTCCCCAATCGAATGGTCGGTGTACATCATAGTAGGTGCAAACAAGACAGTCAGAATTTTCTTTGCTAACATCAATAATATTCCCGTGCTCGGTAGGGGGTAGAAACCTCCTTCTAGCGTAGCAAGCCTCCTTGGGTGACTTGGTAAGCGTCACAACGGTGAGCGGCACTTCCTCTTCAACCTGTTCGCGGAATATACCCCATTTGCCTCGTGATAACGCAGAGAGTTCTTTGAGGTGCCTTCAGTCTTCAACTTGGAGTCCTCGCCAGTCTGTAAGAGACCTCGCATGTCCTCCCCACCCGCCGCATCAGGAGATCCTTCCAGATATGTTGGACTTGCAAACCCCGTGTGACAGTGTCCATTGGGACGATGTAGCTTGGATCTATTCCTGCTAGTTGAGGCCGCTCACCCACCTGAGGGTATTTTGATCCTAGCTGTTGATATATCCAGAGCCCACCAGATCATGTGTTGGTGCCTGGTTCTGTCCAGTATTAATGTCAAGATGGTATGCAATTATCATAGAAGCAGATCGCTTATCTTGCAATTGTCCATCTGTTGTTGACTGGAATACTGGAGATCTTGGAAGATCCATATTTCGCAAAATGTTCCAACACCAGATAATAAAGGCTTGGAGGCACTCCGTTACTGGAGAAGGAAGACCATACTATCATCTCATTAATAGGCAAAGATTTGGTCAGGATACATAACTGTACTACCAGACTGTGCCACTCGATATCTTCGCGACAGGCTTCAGACAGAAAAAGCTCCCTGTCAGATGGTTGTATATTAGCTTCTGTCATAGTATATAGAGGTGCTGTTCGACTGGACGCATATACCTCGTGCAACATGAGGCTTCCTATCTTATTAAGATCCGCTGGGTACAGCTAATCCCCAGCCTATGCAGCGACAGCGTGTATTATGCAATATACCCATGCTTTTGACTCTGTGCCTGGGGAGCGAGATATCCTATTCCTGGTGCTGCGTGCGTCTTGATCCGAGGCGTTGGATGCGCACGTCTAGTCTAATTGAAGGAGATGAAAGACGTGTAGAAGCGTGTGTTTATTTGTATGTGTCTGATTATGAAGATCATCTACAGACATGCAGTAAAACGGGTGAAGAAGATGTTGTGTTCGAGACCTCTCTCCCAAAGCTGAATTGTAGAGATGTTATTGGGTATCCCAGTATAAAAGCTTTCCACCTGCTTATCTTTAGAAGATACAAGGCATTATTTGGCCGAAGACAATTATGATGTCTCACCTTCTGCTTCGGAAGGCACGCGAACCAGCTCAGGGACAACAACTTCAGTGAAGCATACGATGTCTCCGCCCCCGCTAGGAATCAAGTGCATCGGCAACTTTTCGATCCCTCTAAGGAGACTATTCGGTAGTTGAACCCCTCGCGCAGTACCTCTTCTGGAAGAGCGCAGTACGCAAGAGGACCACCATTGCCCGTCCTCATCCCGTCGCGTCTATATGCAGCAGGAACTCTGATGAATGGTCAAGAGGGTTGAGTTTCCTGTGCTCTGAATTGGACGCAGTAACTGGTATAGAAGGGACTGTTGATCTATTAGGAATTTCGCATCTAGCGACCTCATATGCTTTGCTGAATTCTGTGTAGACTGCTTGCTGTGCTATAATTTCAATCTTTCTCCTCTTCACAGCTATCGACGTGCCAGGACCAGATCCTATTGTTGTGTCAATTCTGGCTTGACTCTATGAGTTATTATATTATACTCATATGCTTTTAGCGAGATTGCTACTTTGAAGCCATTAGTAGTAGCATCTAGTAAGCGATAACCTGTAGAAGCAAATGCAGTTATCTGACTTTCGGTTCGATGATTCGAGACGTTCCATGTCTGCGAGCCATATACATGCGGCGGTAGCGGCTGCAACAACCCTCGCTCTATATTATACTCTATAGAATCACTCGAGCTTTTAATTACTGAGATCCTCTTGAAATGTAGAGCTCTGTCGACGACAACTTGATATTCAATCTTGGCTAACTCAGCCTACCGTCCGAACCAAGAACCAAATTCATCGTAGAGCGGCCAAAGCTTCTGTACCTTAAGCCACTGGTATTTAGTTGGAGCAGATTCAGGAGGACAGTCGGTTTACTCAGGATAAATAGATGACGATGATGGTATCTTCTGCACTCTGTTTCCAGGGTATGCTGGACGACATCAAAAAGATTTCTTGTCCACATTGACAGGGGCATTCTAGTCATCCTACTTTGAGGTGTTCTGTACATGGCCCCATGCCCATTGTTTGTATGTGCAAGAATGCTTAAGCGTCTCGACAAAATGACTCCTGCAGTCTCCATGGTCGGTCAATGATAGTTCTGCCACTGCACTTCTGTAGGGGAGTACAATGCAAGTTTTGCTGCTTTTGGTACGGCTCCCGGGATCAGCGGGATATAATGCTGGATCAAGTCGGTAACAGGCATGTGAACAATATCGCTAACAAAACTATCCCTCCAGGTATACAATAGTAACGCAATCGTAGGGTGTAACTCAGGTGTCACCATATCTCCGAGAAGGTATCTGTTGGCCGCTATCCACTCCTCCGCCGCCACGGAGTCTGTCGATAGTCTTCTTCGGAACGATGATGGCCTCCCGCCTCAATCTCTATGGGTAGGATTGACCCCTTAGTGTCAACATGAGAATGGGGAATGGTACTGCATCTCGAGCACGAGTATTTGCAATTGAAGGCCAGTGACTGACTGGATGTCACTGTCGAACATCACCTGCCTTGTATATGTCCATCCCTAGCAACGACCCTCACGGGTATTAATGTCTCCTATCTCTGTAGGATGTATCATGCTCATGCATGTGTTTGTGGATCTGTACTTTGATAGCCTGTAGGTTGTGAAGAACCCGTAGATTGGTTGTATGTCATTTAAAAAGAGATGGCATTCTCGAAGCGATATAGCGCTGCCAACAGCAGTTTAGTGACGAAGCTATGCTTTTTCATGTCGGCGTTATGTAAACAAGAGAATATGCTGGACTCGTAGGTGCTAGGACAGACATATCGTCGTCCAAGTCCTCAGGAACGCTAATATAGTACTTCTTTGAATTGTAATCGGCAGGAGTAGTGATGATCGTACTAAGAGGGTGCCCTAACTCGAGGGAACGCACCGTGGTAGCTCTACCACACCTATGGGAAGATGCCATGCCCTTAATCATCATTGTGGGGGTCATTCGAAAGCCAGAGAAGCGAGATGTAGCAGAGTATGGCAAGAGAAGTCTAGATAAATAGCACATATTAGGATGGTACTGCCTTTGTTTTGCATCGGCAAATGCACGAGACCAGAGAAGACAATTGTAGAGTCTTCGTCATTATCCCCAAGCATCAAGGCCGTGACTTTCTCTCAGAGCAATAGCTGTCGGTGGGGTTATCCTGGCCGGACCATAATTGGTCCCAACAATGATCAAGTTGATAGATTGTAGACACGCCCATATTGTATTGCGTCGATCAGAATGGCCAGCTCATAGATGAACTGTGCACAGTATGGAGGCATTATTTCTGCTCCACACTGGTAAATCTCCCCCGATAGACTGTACACAAGTGGTTTCTATACTGACATCTCTGTCTCGCAGGTACGCCACGGCATATAATATATGAAGTTAGACATCTACCAGACCTCGGTGGCAGGAACCTGATGTTAATGTGGAAGCTGTTGCATCATTTGAGATCGGCTCAGTTTCAGTCCCATTTCATGGTCCCCTTCCCTTCTTGCCCTTGCCAGCCAAGTTGAGGAAAAGGGCATTCATCTTCGCTGGTACATATTATCATCTATCTGCATCACTGTCTATCATAAAGCTTGGTTTGGAACGATAGGATTGTTGTCCATAGCGAATCCTCCTCCGGTATGGAGATATATGTCCGGGGAGGAGCTTCGCTCTATCTGTCGTCGAGATCAAAATATCTATCATTGGCGCTAAGCCGGTGCACATCATTGTTATCATGTGAGATAGTATAAGTTAGCTCTGTAGATAGGCAGGAAATAGATTATCGTAGTAAACATAAGGGAATGCCCTATATAGGTTGAACATAATGGGCTATGCATACTAGATGTATACTACTATGGCTTAGTTAAGTTCACTACATAGAGTAGCTTTAGTAAACTCAGATATCAATAGATTTAGAAAGGAAGGAGAGAAAGAAGACTAGAAACAAGATATCTTTATAGCCTTGACTAGAAACGTGAATTATCACCTCCACCTTCACCATATTATAATCAATCTCCAACATATTCATCCTCAAAATTGAATACCCACAAACCCTACTCCCAAATTCCCAACCCATCCAGCAAAAGCAACCAATTAACCCACTCCCCCAAACCAGCAGCAGAAGGAGAAACAACAAAAAGCAAAGATACACACACACACACACACACACATCACTTCGCCTCCGCACTCCCTAGCCCAGATACCAACACACCCACCCACCCACCCACCACCTCCCAACACATCTCACACCGTGCCTACAGTATCATCTCATCTCCACTTCCGATCGTCATCTACCTCACAGATCATCCCAGTCCCTCCACATGCCGATAGATAAACCAACCAAAACAAACAAGTCAGTACCAAGATACGATACTCCGATGGAAGCTTCTCTCCCATTCTCCATCTGCAACCCAGGAACGATCTTCATACATATGACAAGGAACATTGCATTGCATGCATGCCACAGTACGTACGTAAGTCCTACTGTATGCAGGGCTGCAATAGTTTCTTATCATGGCCAAGGAAATTAACTTTTTTTTTGATATGTCGATGCGGATATTGATCTTCGTTGCTATTTTAGATACTTGAGTGTCGATGAGTACATGCCTTTGTAACTAGTCATGTTATGATACCGCGGTTAGTTAGTCGTAGCGATTTAGTTGGTTAGTTAGTTACTCATTGGGATTTGGACGATGTGGTGATATATACAATACATGGTAGTAAGACAGACAGGGTAGTAGTAGGTTACGCATGGATGGATAGTAATGAATCAGTAGCTGCCAGGACTACAGAAGGCCCTTAACCCTGCCAAACGAGCTGCTGCTTTCAGCTGTAGACAAGGTCGGTGCGCTGAGCGATGGCATGGTTTCCTTGATGGCCCATGTCAAGTTGGCCAGGCTGATGCTCCATGCCGTGCCAGGTTTGACAGCGTTGGATACAGCACAGACTGTTGTGTCAGTCACTTAAGCAGTTGTCAGTTACATTAGTCGGCTGGAGTGAAATCCAATAGAAAGAGTAGGCGCAGAGATAAGATTGTGGCATTACTGGTGGTTAATTTTGCCACTGGACTAGAGGATATATGAATCAATCCTGGTCTGGTGTACGACTGCAACTACAAGTAGGTTGAATGCGAATTTTGATATGTTGTATTCAGGGTGTATCATCGCAGCCCAACCGCCGGTCGTGACCGAACCCAATGCAATTATCAACATCAATGCAGCACACAAAATCACACAAGACATTTAGAAAAAGACCCCACCCATGCTGTATAGCAATGCTCCTCTTGTACAACGCCGATCCAGTTCAACCCTGCCTGGGACCAACGGATCAAAGCAAACCCAGGGAATAAACCACACAAGTGTCGTAAACATAACCATTCCAATCTGAACAGTGTCAAACCAAGAGCAATATGCTAATTCGTATACAACAAAAAAAAGAAAATGAAAAGAAGAGATCGACAGCATGAGGATCTAACTTCGTCAAATAGAACTGAAAGGGCCTCCAACAGACTATGCGGTGAACACCCGGTCCAATTGCCGCAGTGCGCGCATGTCTTCTCCTCCGAACCCGATCTTTTCGCTGGGAATGTCTCGGGGCCCCTCGGCGCGTCCTGCGGCCGGGGCTGGGGGAGCGGCGATCGACGGCAATCCACCAGAAGGCGCGCCATTCATCAGCGCACCGATGCTGGGCACGGTGGTGCCGGTGCTGGCTTCCAGTGGCTTGGGCGCCATCGTGCTCGGCGGAGGGATTTGTACGCTACTGGACGGTGGCTGACTGATAAGCTGGGGACTGCGCGCAATCGATGGGATGCCGTTGCTGTGCGGCATATGATGTGGCTGTGTGCGGGGTGACGATCTCGCAATCTCGCGAGGCGGGCCAAGCTCCGGTGGACTCGGGCGGTGGTGAAGAAGCTCGTGCGCTCCAGGCGGCACTCGTGGTGACCGGCTTGCAAGCACCTGCACGCTCGACGGTTGATGGAGAGATGGCGCCATCGTAACTTCAGCTACATGCACCGGCCGCTCGTGGTGTGCCGGCAATCCCGGGGGTTGCGGAGGCGGCAAGGGCGTACCAGGTGGCACGGCAGCCTGATGGCCATATGGTATTTGACCATTGGGCTGAGACACTGACGGAAGGTAAGACGGATAGTGGACCGGAACGGGCGGAGTAGCCAGCGGAGTCGGAGGCCATGTATATGAAGGAGTGTATGGCGCTGGGTGTGCAGCCGGAGAGCGCCCATAGGGTGCCATGGGATGAGGAGGCACATATGCGGCACCGGCCATAGGACCACGAGTCACAACGGGAAGATTCTGTTGATCGTTTACAGTAGACTCCGGATAAAGCCCCTTTTGAGGACGCACATGTCGCAGATTGGGGTCTGTCGACGGTTGTTGAAGGTTGGCCGCAGACGGATGTGACCTCGAGTAGTAGCTGATCAGATGGAGGTGCTGACCGGTAGATGTCGTAATGCTGAAGGACTGTTTCATCAAGCCATCAGGCTTGTAGCGGTAGCCGTCCGGCCCTTCGTCTGCGCCATCTCCACGGTCGTCGTCACTGCCCCGTGTGCTTTCTGGTGTTTTACCAGCTCTCGACATCGTCGTCTGAGCAACACCGGTTCCTCCCCGTTTGCCTTCCATCTCGCGATATGTTAAGAAGCTTCCAGATACGCGACTGGCACTCCACGACTTGCCATCGGTCCATCTTCGCATGCCCGCTTCGCGTTCATCCCAGACAAAGACTGACCCGGAACGAATTAACTGACGTTCCTTCTCGGATAAACGTCTCTGTACGCGGGGAAGAAGGCCAATGCGACAAGCTTCGAAGAGGATGATAGCGTCCGCAGGAGTGCGGACGTGCCCGTGATACGTCTCCATCCACCTTCGGTGATCTGTGTAGGTCCCCGTGATGACTGTTGGTTTAAGCGCTAGGACCGGGGGTTTCGTAGGGTGAAAAATGTTGAAAGATGTGCCGGAATGCAGGCAATCTAGATGAGGTCGGAAGTCGAGCAACGGCTCTTCGGTAGCCGTTCAACAAACACCGTTCAAGCGTGCGATATTCCCGGAACAGGAAACAAAAGGCCAAGCTTCACGAGAAGGTGAGAGATGAGTAGGTGCTGTGAAGAACCCACAGCGGAAAATAATCTGAAGGGTCAAGAAACAACATTAATTTCCCATCTATGTGATTGAATTGGAGAATGGATAGGGTGGAGGAGTGGAGTGGGAGGGGAGGGGGGGAGAACAGAGGGGATGGAATGTAAAGAAACCAGGGCAGCAAGGAAGGGGATAGGAAACAAGGAGTGGGGAGGGACTGATAGGAGAATAAAGAAGAATGCAGGAAGGCGGAGGTTGAGCGTTATACAAACGCCGCTGAGACAAGGGGAGCTACGACATGCAAAGGCCGAGCAGGTACAGGCAAGACTTACCGTGGCGGAAGGTAGCGCGTTGTAGTCGCAGTTAAAATCGATCTTGGATGCAGCAAGGCGGGCGACGAAGTGTTTAGTGGGCGATAATGGAATGGTAACCGTCAACACCAATTACTATACTTGGTGGACTCAGTTATAGCAGCAGTAGATGGGGAATGGTTGAAGGTCGCAAGTCGCAGCAAGTCGCAGTAGAAAGAGAAGAAGGGGAGAGGGATCGTGGTAGTAATAATAAGAATAATAATCCAGCTACTTGACTACTAAACTAAACTAATCGGAACCCGAATAAAAAAAAATTATTTATTATAATAATAAAAAATAAATAATAATAATAATAATAACAAAAAAGGGAAAAGGAAAAAGAAAAAGAATAATGCTTACTCGAAGAATTAGCATTAGAGATAGGGTGGGGAACCGACTTAACTCTGAACCCCACAAGGTCAAGCAGTCGTTTTTATTGAAAGACCATGTAATAATAAATTAAATTAGCTGATGGGAGTTTCCTTTTTGTGCAGGGTGGGAGTGACTAAGACTGGCGTATGTATTTGATTAAAAACCAATTTAGCGAACAGCTCCCGGAAAAAAGAATTCTCATGACCATTATCCTGATTATTGATGTTTTCTTTTTTTTAATCTGTTGTGATATTATTATTTCCACATTTATTCTAATTCCATTACTGGTCTCTTTCTTCTGATATTACACCTTTTCAAAACAGCAGACAAGACAACCAAGACAAGTGAAGGTCAGAGGACTAAATGCTTGGGCCTCTCTCTAGGCGCTAGCCATACCGAAAATCAACCAGACGAAAGAAACGACCCCCCCGAAAAAGTGGGTAAATAGGAGCCGGCTGCAGCAAATGATCTCATCCGACTGATATTTAGTTGCTGGATTCATCACAAACAAATAGAACCTTGTTTTTAACCTTTTCTTTTTCGCCTGATGATTATCCATGGTTCTGGGGAGCGAGGCTGGCTGGTGTGGGCACCGGTGGAGGCTTCGGTTCTTCTTTTCTCTTTCTTTCTCTCTTCTGCTGCTGGACCATTTCCATGGGGCTTAAGATTACTCCGTTTGTGTCTTACGGCTGATTGTTACCATATACTTACCAAGTCAGATCCGGTCAATCTCACTTGTAAGAAAGGGATTTAATTATAGCCGAGCGTGCCCACCTTTCCCCCCTCCCTCCTTATCGTAGAAACAAAGAACAGTAATGAATTTGAGCGTGATCGCACCAGGGTGAATAATGAGATATGAACAAAAGGGGGGCGCGCGGAGGGAGGGGTGGGAGAGGGGGGAGGAAATAAAGAGACTTCCGGTGGTGGAGTCTAAACCAAGCTTAGCGATGTGCCCGGTATGACTATCAAGTATGGGACTTGGAGCACAACATGAATAGTCAAGGTGACGCCTTTATACATCGGTATACAGATGGAGTAACTGTATACATACTAGGTGTACATGATGGGTGACACAAGCTCCTGCTTACAGGGCTGGAGGATTCCCACATACCAGATGTTCATTCCGCAGCAAGCATGCTGCACACTGATTGAGCTTCCCGTCCGTATCATGACGACGGAAGGATACCATGATTGTCGTGGCGGCCCTCCTTACGCAGTTTGGCTTCTCCGGTGACAGTCGATCGACCATATCTTGACCGGTCTGCTGCTTGGAGGCTTGGAGGTTTCTTGGCTCCAGTAAAACCCATGATTCAGAAAATTGAGAATATTCTCAGTAATCAAACAGGGAAAGGCCAAGAATATTACCGTATTACACTAGGAAGATACCAGTGGCGCTCTGATCGCTTGCTACCAACCGGAAATTGATTAGTGCGCGACTTTCTGAAGCTTAAGCTTAATCCAACACGAGGAACCTTAAGCTCGCTTAGAAGAGAGACATGGCCCCCTCCTCCTCCACTGTGGCTGGGGTTCCACTTGTTCCATGGTCGCTTTTATTAGTCTCTTGGGTTTTATGTTTGAATTTCTCATAATTATGCCCGGATATCCGGCGTGTGCACAATATTAATAAAAGTAAAACCTTTTTTCCGTTTTGCCAGCTCCATCCGATCCTGTGTCTTGATTTGGACCCCTACGCGATCGCCAATCACTCATCTGGGTTTGTGGGTTGTGGCCATCATCATCATAACTTTTACGGCATTTCTCGTGTTCATCTGATCCGTCTTTGGAGGCCCTCCGTATCGTCTAGAAGAACTTTAGCACAGACCTTGTTCCATGCCCCCGATTCGTAATCGGTATCGGACGGGGAATACGATACTCTTTTTTCTTTTATGATTATTTAGGGTTAGACTATCCCCGGGTTACGCAGCGGTTCCGCCCGAAAGTGACCCTTTCGGGCCAAGACTGACGACATTTTCTCCCTTGTAGGCTCGCCTGCCTTTGCCGTTTTGCCGTTGTTTAGGCTTCGTGACTGGATTTTCGGGTCCTCTTATTTTACTTTGTACTTTTCACATTTTATTCCCTTTCCGCTGACATTTTTGACTCTTTAATTCCGTGCTCTCGGACTTTCGGCTTCTCGGCAGATGACAACAGCCACTGTGGCGATTCGTACTCGTATCGGGGCGAGCACCTGATCCCGCATAGGGAATTTCTTTCCCCTCTGATTAGCAGTTTCTTTGTCGCCGTAGTAAAACCAGTCCTAATATAGTCAAAAGATAGTCGCAATATAGGCCCGATATTGGTGATCTGGCTGGTCATGTTAAGCATTCTGACTAACGAGTTTCTCGGACTCTAACTCCGGGTGGCATAACTTCCAACCTATCGTTGGACCCAGGCCTCTTCCTCCATGCGTCTGAACACCTATCCTGGTCTCAAGCAGGGATCAACTGAGCCTACCAGTGATAAGCGCCAGGCAGATGATTATTCTTTTTGCGTGCTAAATGCACCCCCCTTCCCAGCTGAGAATTTATCCGCTGAACCAAACATCCAGGCATTCCCTGTGAAAAGCTTGACAAATCTTATCCGGGGTGATGGTTCGCATGACATACTTGTCCGATAAGTATGATAGTGGGCCCTCCCTCTTTCTTCCCCCTCTCCATAAACGCCTCTCTTTACTGAGGTAGGCAGGTCTTCGGCTCTGGGCGGCAAAGTGAAACCCAGCCAGAAGCAAAACAAGGAACTCCGACAGGCAAAAAGAAGAACGAAGAACTTAAAAAAAAAAAAAGCCAGCCTAGGATCAGTCATATGCAAATCAATCGGCCACGTAAGACCAGAGCATAGCTGATCTGCTCGCGACTTATCATACTCCAATCAGCGGGCGTTACCTCCCCGGCGGCGCTTGACCGGGAAATTCGCGTCGCCCATAGTCCGGAGCTTATTGTCCAGTAACGTTGATTAGACTCGATAAAGTTGCGGGCGCAATTCAACCAGGATCGAGCTTTGTCCGTTGCTTCATTCTTTGCCTGAAATTACTCCGTACTTTAATTTAAATTGAAGGTTTGCCTTCTTCTCATTCTTCTGCTCTAGTTGACTTCATTCCGGATTGGCAGAGTTGATCAAATTAATACTTTCAGCTTTGACGTGTTAGTATCCTGGTCTTGCACAGCCTTCTTCCATTATCATCCATCGTCCACCGTTTTAGGCTTCAGCTTTTTTCATTTTCTTATTACACCTTGGCGCTAATGGGGTCCATGATCGATTAGAATTGAAAATAACCACACTAAGAGAAAGAAAGTATCCGACCAAGCCGGCTAGGCTACTAAATTATTACCTTTTCTTTTTCTTTATCACGATAGTGAATTAAATCGAATCGGAAAAATGAAATAATAATAATAGCAAAAGCAACGTTAAAAAAAAAAAGAAACACATACTGAAACATGGACGAAAAAGGAAGTTTCACCCATTCGGGCGCTTCCCAAGTGGCTACTTATTTACAAACAACCTCATAGTTAATGGGAATGTCAAAGAGGAGGGGGTGTGAGATAGATACGTTACAGCTTACAAGGGCCCAACCACAACTAACTACTAACTAGTAGTTGGACTAACTACCAGCAGCGCCATCACCACTAACTCCTGGAACTATAGCGTAGCCGTACTACCGACTAGCGTTCAGGATAAGCGTATCGCCAACAAAGTCGGTCGCATCCTGGCCGGTTTTCTTGGCCCTCCTTGGCTGGCCCACATCAGGATGCGTAAATTATTCGGGCCAAGCGATTCTGGCGGGGAGGTGTGGTGGTCAGGAGTTGCTGCTGACACTAAGCTATACTAGTACTTACAGGGCTGGGCTGGGTTGCAGCTGATGTCTCACATGGGGCAAATAGGAGATAAAAGAAAACAAGACTTTCTTCGATGAAGGATGCGACAGTTGTTATTAAATTAGATTAATTTTTCGATTACCCCCATCCGGTGCAAGGTACGGCGTATCACACTTCACAAGGCAGTTGGCGTAGTAAGTGAGTAAGAAAGTAGTACAGTAGTGCAGGCTGATGTTATACTTGGATTATGAAGAAACCTGTCTACATTATCTAACTGCAAGTTACCAGTTGCGGTAGTACTGTGTGTTTGTTTGGGGCCAAAGTGTGGTCGTCTTAATTATTCAAGCAATAAGTCGTTGGGTAACACTTATACTACCTATGCAGGGATCACAAACCCATCCAAGTCACGAACCGGTGGTATGTAGATTAGTTTGGTACTAGGTAGCTAGCTTGCTGCACCTTGTGTTCAGTGCTACAACAACCCAAGTATGGGATAGGATTAGTATACATAATGTAATGTGTGTACACCATGCCATCATGTTGTGGAACTCACACTAATGTATGTTCTCCGTCTGGATGCTCAAACTCCTAGTTTAGCGAAGTAGTAGGGTGTCACTCACTCACTCACATTGCTAGATCCAACGCAACACCCGATTTGATTTCCGACGTCTCCCATCCCACTCTGGCGCCTATGGCGGGCAATAGCTATAGCACCTACATATCACCTGCATAGCCTTGTTTTTTGGAATTGCTCGCCCCTCTTCTGCTTTCCTTCTTTACTTTTCTTTTCTGTCTCTCCACCCATGTATGCAAGGCGATGCGGAGAGTCCGGAGTACCACCATACCTATCTGAAAATAGATCAGTGGGTGTGTATGTATGTACACACTCACTTACATCCATCCATCCATACATTCTGAGCAGATCGTCTTTCCTTGGGCTGCCTGGAGGGTTAGTGTAGCGAACCTGTCGATATTTTGTTGAACAATGATGTCAGAAGGCAGAAGAATGTTATTATTCTTTTGCTTTTACTATTTGTTTTTACTTTTTCTTCCTTTCCTTTTCTTCACACTCTTAAAACGGTATTTGCCCGTACCACTGGAATCTGCCTCCCTCCTCCCTCACTCATGCAACTGACGATCATGGCAGTCCGGGGAGACCGTCTAGATACACAGAGAACAAGAGTTTCCACATATCTAGTTAAATATGTGTCTGGAACCAAACAACAAACGCCCCCCCCCCCTTCCCCCCCCCCTCCCCACCCAACGTGTCACGGACAGTTAGTTGGCGATACAATCAAGCTTTTTCGCCTCCCAGGCGAGCGATATTAACCGTGTGTGTGTAATGTGAACAAGAAACCTTGTTTATGGTCATACCCAAGGTACATTGACACCTTAAGTGTGTGAGTCGACTGAACCTCATTCTCCATCTGCGACCAATCGGACTGTGAGCGTGACTCAAAAAGGCCCAAAGACTAGACTAGACTAAATAACTAGTGTGGATTGTTTCACTGATCTACTGTGACTGATTCCATAATTTTTGGACAGGGCTTGTCTGAGAGAGAGTGTGTGTGTGTGCATCTGTGTTGCCTGCTTTTCTATTTTCCAGTTGTCTGTGGTTCTTGCGTTTTAGTTACTCCGTCCGTGGGTTTAGCTGAACTGGACTATTTGCTGTAGAGGATGTATCTACTAGTGAAGTAAGTGAGTTGAGTAATATATATGTAGGTAGTGTGGTAGGGTAGTAGAAGGTTCGCTGATCGGGGAGGAGCTCTAAAGTTAATTTCCTTCCAGTTCGCCTTCAACTTACTTACCAGGCAAGCGAGGCACTGGGTGACATGGTTGGATTAACCTGGAACCAGCAATACTATCTACGTAGGTTTGTGCTATAGACGCTATGCGCTCCGGACAAATGCGCAATGAGTCGCTAATCATTGAGACCATTCTATCTGTACTCTGTAGCTGTTTAAAGTTATCATACTTGTAGTAGCCTGTGTTAGGCAAACGCCCTTTCCGTACCTGCTTAATCTATTGTTGTCTGTCTATCTACTGTATGATACGGAAAATCAGTCAGTGTGATCAATACAAATATTACCTATTATGATTTATTTATTTTTCTGTTCTTCTTTTCTTTTATCTCCCCTGAGTTCCCTTGCATAAACTCACGTCACACAAGAACAAAGTTTGCTTTCTGGGGATTTTGTGAGTCAAGATTTTTTATAGTTAACCCGCTACCAATGTATGCATGTATGTATGTATGTATGCCTGGATTTGCTCCTTAGGCTACCACCACTACTACTACCTACTGCTTGGGCTCGGCTATGCTCCAATGCAACCCTTGATTCGGAAAAGGTTTCTGAAATGCCAAGGGGGTTAGAGGGTGTGTGTAAGTAAACAGAAACAGGAGAAGAGGAGCAGCCATTTTGTGAAACGTTGCACGGGCTTATCTCCACTAGCATAATTGGTTTAAGGTAGATTATTTTTCCTTTATTTCTTACTGGGAGAAATGGTGGGTGGGAAAGATAGTCAGGCTATTCATTCCATTCATCCGTGTTTTCTCAATAATTGCGAAAGTTGGGTTTGGCCGGTGTAATATGTATGCATGTAAGAGATTGACGCTTTGATTCATTTATTTTGTTACTTACTTTTTATTTGACAGTCGCGTAGTTAACTATTTTGGATAATTAGATTAAGGTGTCATCGTGTTGGATGACGCGCTTGGACTTTGATGGTGGGCTTGTGGGTGGACGTGGGGGGGTGGCTGTATTTTATTTTATTCTATTCTATGTTATTCCGCTTTAATCCAATTCAATGTAACTGTTATGCAGGAATTTTTCCAGACAAAATGGAGCCTGTTGTTTGCTATTGCTATGGCAGTGGCAGTGGCATTTAGTTGTTGCTGTTGCTGTTGCTGTCAAAGCTATTTATTGACCTCTGATGGTTGGTCTTGTAGTACTGCCATGTCTGTAAGCCTACTTTCATCGTCGCACTCGCAGATCAACTACCCGACGCAGACATTGCTGATGGAGATCATCCCCCCCCCCCCCCCCTCCCTCTTCCTTCCCTCTCAAGTTGCATGAATGATCGATCATAGCCTGTTTGAATTAGGTTAAGGTACGGAGAAGATAAGGGTGTGTGCCTACAGCCTAGTCATTTTTTGACTTACAGACAAGGGAAAGACAAACAGACTACCCAAACTGTGCGCACTTTTTGCCTTCCTTCCAAGCCCCAAGCCCCAAGGCTGATAAGCCAAGACGAAGAAAGAATGAGCATAAATGGCTGGCTTACTTCAATAACTCCAAACCAAGCGTGCTCTAGGCGCCCACCGTTGCAGCCCTAGTCGGGCGACTATTGCTTAGTTAGTGTGAAGGCTTTCCACCCCCCCCTCCTCCTTGTCGCTCTCCATCCGCCACGCGAATGGAGATGAATTACCAGATTGGGAGATTTCCATGAGCGATTTGACTAATTGGCCGCCTCCGTGGCAGCGTATCAGACCTCCGTAGCCGAGGATCGCTATCCCTGACCAGGCCCAAGCGTCAAAGCGCTGCAGAAGCCAAGCCATCCCCGCTGACTACTTTCGTTTTGGTCCAGCAAAAGTCGATGTAACACGAGTTTTCCGACTGGACCCTCAATTACCAGATAGCCAAGGCTTAGCCTGTCTGGCCCTGTGGTCTGGTCTTTTACATGGTGTATGGGTGTATGTACTAAGTAACAGTGTCCTATCTACTAAGTTACCTAGTTGGTATTTCCCCGAGCACAGCAACTGATCCTTTCTATCCATTCACACACGCCCTTTCTCCTTACACCACCCAGCAAGAGTTCATGGTCTTACTTACTTAAGTTACTTACTCAGAAACAACCCCTCCCCTCATAGGGTATTGGAAATCAGCCTAAATTTGAAAGCAATTTTTAGTCTGTGTCATATCACATATGGCAAGGGAGACTGGCGGCTAACTCCGTCATGGCCATCATTTAACTATCCATCTGATGTCGCCGAGCCACTGCAAATTTACTGGGGGGCTATTTTTATTGATTCTCGCATCCTTCACCCTTTTTGTCCGGGATTCGGCCATGGCAGCCGACCTGCCTTTTTCAATCTGAATCCGGTCCCCACGGAAATACCGGACCGATTATGTAATAACCACACCAGAGTGGTGCGTCGGGATTGAGAGCGCCAAAAAAACCACCGGAAGAGCAGAGAGCTGGACGAAGAAGTACAGGTGTCCTCATCTGAGTCAAGTTGCCGAGCAAGCCAGCCGATACGAGCGAGCGTCGCGTAGGCGATCCACGGTCCCCAGGCTAGGCAAAAAGGGCCAGAGGATCGATCATCAGTCGTCCATACTCCATTCATGTCAGTTTTACGCTCATACGCCGAAATAGTGCCCTGCTGGTCTGGCGCCGGACAAAGGCCGAGAGAATATGCTTAACACCAGTAAGGTTGGCAACTTGGCATTCGCCCCCCCGCGTGGTATTCCTCCGCAGATTGACTAAAGGGAATACAAAGTAATACTGGCTACGTACGAAGTGCTCAGCAGGATTGAGCCCATCAGCCATGGATTCCTTCCTCCCCGTCTCCCAAGACTTTTGTTTTCCAACGCTTACTTGACCACACTGTTTTCAGTGGAAGTATATTAGTAACTATATTCCCTCAACTGGGGCATCCTTTTTTCGAACGGGCCCCCCCACGATGGATGCTGACCCTGTTCAGCGCTGTCTCCTGCCGATATTAAACGATCCATCCAGTCATTTCGCCTGTTCAGCCCAATAGTTAAAGCTTTCCGTCTGAAACCGCCCGACGACCCTTTTCTCTCGCGACCATCGTAAACGAAGTGGATCGCTGCCATCCTGATTTGGGCAACCGGCGTAGCGAGGCTCCGCCCAGACCGCAGCTTGGAGGGAATAAAGTATCCGTTCGGTGTGGACCCCGTCCAGAATCCAGCGCCCAGGTAGGTCGGTTAGTTAGGCTTTCCCCCCTCTTCTTCCCTTCTGTTCCTGATTCCTGGGTACGGAGCACTAGGCAACGATTTCGATTGAAAGGGGACCCAAACTGGCGCTGAGGGTATGGATGGGTTTCACACCTATCCGCGGCTCCCGAATCCAATCCATCCGCCACATCCCTGAGACGTGTAGGTAATCGCGGTGACCTTCCAGAAACCGAATCATCGACGAAGAATGGATGGAACTTCGGCGCGGAACAGAACATGCTTCCTCTGGATACTCCGATAGAGATCCACTTTGCGCAGATAATGTAGAGCTGAGCCCACTCTGTGTGCGTGTACTCAGTATGTGAGAGTATTCCTGTCGGCAGCCGGACACACAAAGTTCTCCGTAAACAGATGGATTGTATAGATTGTCAGTCGTTCCATGATCCATCAGATGGGGCCAAGGTTTTTTGGCCCCTCTTTCCCTTTGATGATGATGACTTCTTTGAGCTAATTTGAGTTGCTGGGCGTTTCTTTTCGTTTTCTTGTCTTTCTTTCTTACACACCCTGGGTAATCTATAACAGTACAGACGGTATCGTAAGTTTGACACGTGAGATCACACCAGCAGGGCCTGCCATCCGTGGCAGTATCTCACCGCTATTCCCGCCGCTCCCCGTTGCGTAGTCTATGTTGTTCACGTGCCAATCTAACAAACAAACAATCATCTTGGTGATACATTCCAACAAGCCATCCATCAAGTCTGGGCCAGTATGTGATCATTCAACTCATCACACCGTTGACTAAAAGTCATCACAAGGGTGGGTTAGACTTAGTGCCTCCGTCGTCTTACTTGCCACTCCACAACGAAGTCATTCGATCACTAGGTAAACTAACTAGAAAGCTGGAACACCGGTCCGCCGTTGCTGGCGCCGGAACTACTGCCCTGGATTGATTGCCTTCAAGCCACTAAATGAAGTCTCGAGCATTCCACGAATCAGTTCGTCTCGTTGGGCGCTTGACTACACCTCTTTGCGGTGCCCGTTCAATACATCCATCCATGGATAATAATGACTCATGATGACAGGGATATACACTGAAGGCTTATCTCTACCTAATCAATTAGCTCTTGTCAGGAACTATACACACACTATCTGGAACAAGTTGGCCATGAGCCATCACGATGCTGCTTTTCACAGCTAAGAAGGGACGGGACGATGCGAGAAAAACATGCTCTTCTATACTTACAAATAGGATTGGTATTGGCTGCCAGCCAGATCAGCCATGTACCGAAAAGTTAACCCTATTAGCCTTGTTTTTCTGGCAGTGATCAAAGGGCTATTTTGCTCGATACTACGCCTCCGATGTCAATCTCTGATCCGTCGATCCTGCACTCCGAGAGACTGTTTCCAAACAAGGAAGCTAACTCGGATTGCATCGTTGCCTTGTCTTTACTGGATGCCACCACGGTAGACTTCTCGGATGCAAGCGCTGTTTGGCTCTTTGAGTGTGAGCAGCAAAACCGCGGCAACCTGGTGAACCACCTCCGTCAATCGCTCAGGATCACGCTGGATGCTTATCCTCAATGGTGTGGCTTGATCAAGGTTGTAGACTCGGTGGATGGCCCTGCGGTTGCTGATCGAGATCTGTTGGCGCCTCATGCCCGCCGTTTTGGCCGGGTGTATGTCCATTATGGCACGCGGGCTGACCCCGGCGTTGAATTCGTCACTGCACGTGCGGCTGATACTCTCGATGGTCTCTGTCCTTCCTCTCGTACGACATCTCAGCCTCTCTGGAATCAGGAAAAGGTGGCTTTATCGAGGTTTGTCCCAAAGACTTGCTTGGCGAACCCACTCAAACAACCTGTTGTCGACAATGCAGATATCACCCCTCCAGTCATGGCCATCCAAATCACGAACTTGGCCTGTGGAGGGTTTGCCCTAGCAATCAAAATAGCTCATCCTTTAGCGGATGCGCAGTCACTTTTTCACTTCGTCAAAGACTGGGCAAGTGTTAGCCGTTCTGCGTTACTGTGCGAGCCTACAGCAGTCTTGAAACCTTTATTTGAACCGGCGCGACTCGACGACGCAGCAGCAGGGGACATCAATGCTGCTACGCCGGACGAGTCGATCATCGAACAGACAAAAAGCCTACCGTTTCATCGCTATGACTGGTGGAACGTGCCCCCTGACTCTCCTCTGAAGACACGCATCCCTGAAGCTTTCCGGGACCAGGACATCCCCCCAGCGGGGAAACAAATACCATGGTCAGAATGGGACAAGAAAGCGCCAGTGTCTCATTACATCGTGCACCTGAGTCGCGAGCAAGTCGAGAAGATCTGGACGCAAGCCAACAACGTATCCGCCACAACCACAAAGACTAATCGACTGAGTCGACACGATGCCATTCTGGCACATATATGGTCAAGCATCAACCGAGCTCGGAAGATGCAACACGACCCCGGGCCGGTCCACTGCGACCTGGCGTACGGGTGCCGACCGGCGTTTCATCTGAGCGATTCCTTTATGGGGTCGCTTTCCGTGATGGTCAATGTGGAGATGACTGGGGCGGAACTGACGACGACTGCAAACTCGGACGGCAAGGAAACTGCCGTACTTCCGCCCATCGCGCACCGCATCCGCCAAACTCTTCTTCAGCTGAAGAATCATCCGGCCCGCTTGGCTGCCCACCTCCACCGTCTGGCATACGAAACGTCTCCGCAACGCATTTGGCAGGGATTTCTGGGTTCTCGGCACGTTATGGTGACGACGTGGGCGTGCGCAGGGCTGTATGATGTGGATTTTGGGTTGGGTCCACTTACTTCCTCCTCTTCCTCGGCTCGCTACGCGGATGGTATCCTCGCCAATCTCGATGGCCTCGTCTTGATCAAAGAGGCACCGCCGCCGTCGCCATCCGATCGGGAGTCGGAGGTCAGGCACTGCCGAGTTCCGTCGGCTTGGACGGAGCATGGTGTGGATGTGCAGATTCATCTCCGGAGTGAAGATATGTTCCGGTTGTTAAGAGATCCGATGCTATTGCCGGACACTGCGTAGACCAAAACTATTTACATAGCTAAATAATCTTAATCTGAGTTTACTACGTATACTCAATCGAATCAGATAAATTACTAAGCGGATGATCACAGATACTCTGCTTGGCAGCTACACTGTCGTGAAATGTACCCACTTGCATATACTTCTAACCCCTATCTACTGTCTTATGGACTTGGCTTCAACGGCCGTCTTGTCTTCCCCTGAATCTATAATAAGTTTGTTAAGCATCTACTACGAATCCGGCCTAGAGTTATGTTCTTATAGTAACATTCGTTTGTAATGATTTGAAAATAATACAATACGTTAGACTCGGAATATACTTACTATATATACATAATTTGGTACATTCTGAAGCCCATGCATAACGTAACATAAGATACCATAAAGCCCATTAATTTCCACATGTCCCTAGTACTACTTCATATACTAAATAGTAAGTAACTCTAGTTATTGCACTATGATCATGTCATCTATATATATAGAATAAGAATTTGATGAAATAGGAATATATCTTAGCCGGTGTGGTTGGTCTCTTACTAGTATATAGTAGTAGTACTAGTACCACTCATCAGTATCTATTTCATAGCACTTACTTAAAGTTAACAGTTCCTATTCATTCTCCACGTAGGATGGACAACATATACACATACACAGAATAAAATTCCTGCCCTACCATGTATTCTACTACACTACTAGTACTACATACATAGTTACATACTACACACTCACTCATACATAATAATCCTTCAGGCAAAGTTAATTTACCAAAAAGTAAGCATAGCATGCATTAGCCCATGTTATTCCCAACATCAATCAATGTATCAATTAGTATTCCCCCCCCC